AGACCTGCGAGAAGGCCAACTGTGAGCAAGTCGCCCGAGAACAAGCCCCTAGTCATCTGTTGAAGCGGTCGCTCGCGCCCTTCCAATATCTCCATGTAGAGACAAGCGGAAGGCTCAGAAGTCAGGAGGGGCGAGACGGCAGGAAGGAGATTTGGGCCTTCAACATGATCCAACAGGTTGGACGTATCGATGACGCTGAAGGTCGAAGGAGCCGTGCTATCGGGGCCCCAGTCGTCACCATCCAAAATCAACGGCTCGAAGGTGAACTTGTCCCGATACAGATTGGCAGTTCTTTCGTCTGGATGCTGGCGAACATACTGCAAGGTGTGACAGAGAGTCAGGGCGTCGCCGGAGAAGAAGCGCAGGATCAGCCCCTCGCGCACGCATTTTCGGAAAGAGAACGACCAGTTGCAGAATTCAGCCTTGGCTGTTTCCAAAGCTCGATGCGATCTTGGCCTATTGAGCGGTGTCGGGCCAGTGGTGGCGACGTAGGCGAGGGCGATGTGATATCCATCGAGAGGATCAGTGCGGTAATGCAGCTGTGTTGTCGAGCCGGCGACGGCAAACATGGGGTTGAACCGCACATCCACGTCGGGATTGCGATACGCCTTGTGCCTCTTCGGGAGGTCCTCCCAGAACTCGCTCTTTAGGGCTTTCAGCTCGGTGGCATAGCCTATGCCGCCTGGGTAGATAGATCGGAGATTGCCCGTGCATTCTCCTCTGGTGGACCTGATGCCGATCGACTTCTGAAGCCAGTAGTGGTAATGTGATTCGAATGTACTCAACGAGTTGCCTGATCTAGGTAGAGCATACTGCTGCCACAGTTCTCTGACTTGGGCGAGCGAACGGCGGTCAGTGAAGCGGATGACTCTGCCATAGGGGCCGCGATGCCAGTCCTGCAGGGAGCTTGAGAGCCTGCAGAGTCTTCGTGCATGGTTCCGCAACGAAGACAAGTCGTTGTCGTTTATGTAAAGGTGGTAGTAGAGTCTCCAGTGACGCGTGTTCCTCGCTCCCTGAGCGTCGTCAAGCAAGAGCGTGAGCAGCATGATGTTTCGTGCTATCGATTAGTCGCCGTCAGCACTCATTCATAAACCTAGGCTGGCACCTAGTTATAATAAGGTCAAGAGATCAGAAACACAGAAGCACTTACCTAGAACGGCCTTTTCGCGATCGCAGCAGGTGATGTCCATAGGGCGACCTGGAGAGTATGCAATGAGCTTCTGTTCGCCGCAACGAGAAGGATTCAGTTCAACATACCATCTACATTGCAGGTGAATAGGATGTGCCTGACATCTCCGCAACCGAGGAGCAGAATGTCCGTCTTGGAATCATAACAAGGCGGCTGACCACGGGTCAAGGATATGGCTGGTGTGTTGCCAACTGGGTAGAACCACACCAGCAAGTCCATCCATTGGGAGGTCAACATTGCATTGACCGTGAAGCGAAGGACGAATGGTAGGTAAATTACAAAGGTAGAATTAAGAAAGTCTCGAGTGAGAACGGTGGCAGAGAGAAGATGGACAAGGATATGAGCTGGGTCCCATGAGAAACTTGGTCGTGCGCGTGGAGTATGGGATGGAAGGAAGGGCGGATGGGAGGAGGTGAAGGAGCACCACTTCAATTAATCTTTACTGAAAACTCTCAGCGTCCAACCAAGGAGTGAAACCTCGCTTCATGATACACTGTAAATGTTTGTTTCTGTTACAGTTTCCAGGACTGACAAGCTGCCGTCAGGTCATGACAGTAACAGATCATTTGAGATACTGGAAGATGGAGTTTTGTAACGACAACACAAGAGATGGAATGACAAAGGGATGCTATGACAGTATTACCGACAGGATATGGGAGGATTCACTGATTTTGCGGCATCTTGGCATTCTCCATCGTCAGGTGACGGCGCTTCGACCGTGAATCAGAATGTGACTGAGGCAAACAGCTATGCGGGGTTTGTTGATCCGGTTAACAGTTTTGACGCACGGTTTCAGGATCGTTTGTTTCGTTATTTGTGAAAGCTATTCGGCGTCTCGTGCAATAGAGATTGTTGAGTGGCGGTATTGTAACGGATTGCGTAGTTTGGGCCGTGAATGCAAGGGTGCTCCGGTTGAATTTCGTGGAAGAGGGCATGACATCTGGTTTAACGTGCATCCTAGCAAATGACTACAGCCCCTACCTAACTTTCCACTCTGTAGCCCGTTTCCTTAAGCCTACGTGATGTTTCCCTTCCTCACCATGCGGCCCTGAAACATCACGGCAACAAAGCAGCAGTGTAAGGTTTTGGACATGAAGCACCTGGCTGCAAGCCTGAATCTCATATAGAACAGGGTGGGAACGTACGAATCTCGGACAAATAGGATTACTTCGAGTTTCTTCAAGAAACTGCGCGTGGAACATGCCGCTATACCTGAAGTTGCTGGCGCTGAATCTTATGTACGGCCCGGCGTAAGCAAAGGCTGAACTTTGATGTATTGGTAGTGTCATGAGGCTGGGAACAACGCTAATATTTAAATTTCTTGGTGTTCGGATACTCCGCCCTCATTTTAAGTAGCCGCCGCATAACCTGAATAACTCTCTTGCTCTTTATACTGCTACTATGCTAGAGGCTTGAGAGAGTTTACAGGAGAACCAATGCTGTTGTCACTTGTTGCCATCTGCCAGCCCTTTTACTCGGTTTATCGGCAAACTGTAAGTCAGTAATGTATGGAGAAAAACTCTGAAAATCTAATTCTGGATCATCTGGTCGGTATAACGGTGCTTTTCAGATCCTTGCCCTACAACATTTGGGGCCTTGGCGCATGGACGAGCAATCGTTACTGGTGTGCTTTTTCCTAGAAAAGGTGAACAACCCGGCTGTAGAGATTAGAAATCAAGATCATCATGTGGATTTGACAACACATGCAACGCCTATTCTCAGCCATCGTCCGTTTCTCACCCTTGGCCATCCCCGAAAGCATCTTCCTAATGTGGTTATTTGAGTGATTCGACTCCACGCATGAAGCAATCATGCCCATGCGCTCCGGCGAATGAGAAACTGATCAAAAGAGGATACTCTAACTTGAAATGACTAGCTTCGTTGTGTATTTCTCGATTTGTTACAATTGCGCTTCATGAAAAACAGGGGTGTAAGCAAGGCTGTTGTGCGCGCCTTGAAAATGAAGAGGTCATAAAATTGTATAAGAAGCGGTACTCATCCAAATATCTCATCACTGTTACCGAATACACTTGCTTACAAAGGTCTATCTAGTACTTTGACTCAGTTTATATTACAAACACAATAATGGCGACCAAGATACTCATTACAGGAACCTCTGGCTTGGTCGGCTTTCGAATCCTTGTCTCAGCTCTCCAGGATGGCCATTCAGTGGTCGCTACCGTACGCTCTGAAGAAAAGGGGAGTTTGATCAAAAATAATCCGGCTATCCAGAAACTGAGCGTGGGTGATCGACTCATCATAGTTGTTATTCCTGACATGGCCATCGATGGCGCCTTCGACTCCGTCCTGGCAGGGGTCTCTCATATCATCCATACGGGCTCACCTGTCCCATTCCCTGAGTATGATCCCTGGTCTCAAGTTTACGAACCGACAATATCAATATCCTCATCTTTGCTGTCTTCAGCACTGAAGACGCCTACTGTTCGACGGGTGGTCATTACATCTTCGATTGTTACCAACCTCGGCCTCAACCCATCCCCAACCGTCGCCGTTTCATCCTCAACCCGCATTCCCCCCCCAGACCCTGCTCCTACGTCGTTTGCGAACCCCATGGAGGCATACATCTTGGCTAAGATAGCTGAGATACACAACACGGAGGAATTTATTAAGACACAGAAACCGCATTTTAGTCTTTCTTATATCATGCCTGGACACGTCTTCGGCAGGAACGAGCTGGTTACAACCGCGGATATGATGTTCGGACAGAACAGCTCCAACAACTTCCTGATGCCAGGAATGGTTGGCGGGCAGCTTCCCTTCCCCATCCACGGCGCATTTGTCCACATCAATGACTTGGCTGACATACATTTGCGTGTGGCGATGATGCATTCCAGCTCTCCACGAGATTTTGGCATTGCGCGCACCGTGGACTACTCGACAATATTTGATCACGTGGAAAAGGCTTTCCCGGAGGCTGTAGCGGCGGGAGTTTTCAAGAGAGGTGTAGTGCCGGTCCTACCTGTGAAATATTCCTCAACCGAGATGGAAGAGCTGCTGAGCAGGGAGTTGAAGAGCTTCGAGGAGGCAGTGGTTGACGTCGCTGGCCAGTATTTGGAGAATTTAGGTCGGAACAAGGCTTGATATGTATAATTGTGCTCTCTACGGGCAAGATTTCCATTTAGGACCAAAGACGTCCTGTTCTAATTACAAAAATCGAAATTATCGTCTGAGAGAAGAATAGTCTTGCCAAGTTAAAGAATTGATGTGCCTTTGAGAAAAGTACTTGATGCAAGAACCGCGTTTATGTCCTCCGCTGTCATTATCTTTTTAAACTATACTGCCTGGATTGCGTACGCTTCTCTAAAGTCGGGAAAACCACGTCTGATTTTTTAACCGTATGCTATGTAGAAAAATTGTTGTAGCTGTTAGATTCAGGCCTTGCAGCAGGATAATCGGTTCATCACCTTATCATCGGGATACTTGAGCCGAGCCGATGACCGGCAATCTCAAAGCCGATGGTTTGGGGTGCTGGACATCAGCTTACATAACCACTATCTAACCGCTAACCGATAAGAATTACAGGCCAGGTTTAGGCTTAGATCACCTGATTAGAGGGCCTCCACAGTGCTGCTTCCCCTAACATAACCCCCTGAACGTTCTCTCACGGCCTGTCCGTTGATCGCCGACTGTCGGTTCCTTCATCCGACTTCATCCTGCACATCACCGACGACAGCAACAGAGCGAACATGGCCGATATGTCCTCGCCAGCAACACCGGACAGGAGTGGAGGGGAGCCGCCACGGAAGAGGAAGAAACGTTCCTACGTTGCGTAAGTTCGAGGCCCCAAGACATGCAGAATAATGTCGCCATCAAGCATCCCGTTGTACTCACGACGGACTCGTCCAGCTGCCGTCGTTGCCACACACTCAAGGTGAAATGCTCTGGCGGCGTTCCGTGTCAAAGATGCAAGAACGCCAAGAAAGACTCCCTGTGCGAATATCCTCAGCGAGAAAGAAGAGTGACTGTCTCCCAAAGGTACGTAGTATGACCTCGCATCTTGACGCCCGTGGTGTTAACCTCTGGAACCAGCTACCTGGACCAGCTGCAGAACGGCAACAGACGGACGAGTAATGTGGAAGCTGGGCCTGAAAGCCGCGAGGCCAGCCCAAGTCGGCCCTCGATGGCTCAAGATTCCCGCGCAACTAGCCAGGGACCTGCAGTGGACTCCGAGATCAGCAACCCCTACCTTGAGCCACGAAGTCTGTTTCAGCTGGACCAAGCCTTGCGACAGCAATTCGTTGGTGAATCCACGTGCCTTGCTTTTGGAGACCGCATTCTGCAATGTCTCAATCCCCATTCAACACCACCATCCATGACATCAGAGCATCAGTATGTGCGTGATCCTGCCTTTGCTCGCCAAACGAGTGGCCTCGCTGGATGTAAGCTTCCTGAGCGCATTCGTGGGATGCTCCTAATACGAGTGGCCCTGCGTTTCATTGGACAGGACTACCATTTCTTCATGCATGGTGACTTCCTTCAGCAGCTTGAGAAAGCGTACGCATCCAAAGACAGCCCCAATTTCGATGCCGTCTGGGCTTGCAAGTTGTTTGTTGTGCTGGCCCTCGGCGAGCTTTACTCAACCTCAATACCAACAGCAAGCCATGGCCGTGGACCGGCTGTTCCCGGCACTGATTATTTTCTCACGGCGGTGAGACTGCTCCAAGACTTGTTTGAAGAGCCGACCATAGCCCAAGTAGAGGTTATGCTGTTGTTTGTAAGCTGGCCCAACATGTTCCATATGCTTTCCTTTGTTGCCAAGTGGGAGAGGTCTCGAAGTAGAGATTATAGGTTGAATGATTTACGAGCTGACGTTGAACTTGTAGTGCTTCTACTCCAATGCGTTAGGCAGAGTGAAATCCGCTCACATGTATAGCGGAATAGCAATGCGGACGAGTACAACTCTTGGTCTACATCGCTGTCTACCTGAGGGTACTGTCTTATCACCTGTTGAGAGGGAGCATAGGATTCGCCTTTGGTGGACTGTTTATATCTTTGATAGGTCGACAAGTTCGCGACTGGGCCAGCCAGTGACGATCCAAGATCCCGACATTGATGTGCAGCTGCCTTCGTTTGACGGCCTCCCGAAGGAGGTGCAGGAAAGATTGGGATCGCCTGCGCACCTGGCTGCCCATATAGAGCTATCTCGTATCACCGGGTCCATCATGCAAGATATTTATGGTCCATCTTCAAGGTCCAACCCTGGAAGATTTGTGCAGAATGTGCGCTCAATCTTGAAGAAGCTCAAGAAATGGGATGCGCATGCACCGCCCAGCCTTCAATTGGGCCAAGGAGCAATCCCCCGATCAGTTGCCTCCCTGCAGCTGCATTTCAACCAATGTATCATTTTGACGACAAGACCGATCCTTCTTTACGTGCTGAAAGTCAAGAAGCCATTTGCGAATTTACCGGGAGCTGCAACAGCTCCTATTTCCGACACCGCTAGAACATTATCTGATGCCTGCATATCTGCTGCCAGAACATCAAACAGCATTATATACCAATTATTCATTGATAATGCTTTGGCTACATACGGATATTTTGATACACACCATCTCTTTTCGTCAACACTCGTTCTCATTATCTCGGCCATCATCTCCCCCAATTCAAGTGACTCTGATGCAGTTCAGGCTGCATTTCAGCTACTGAAAGGGATGAGAGATAGCGGGAATGCAACAGCCGCACAGTACTTCTCGCGACTCGTACATATGCAATGGAATGTGAGCCGGCTTTTTGCCAGAGCAACGGCTGTGGAGGAGGCTGCCGCATCAAACAGTGCCTTAGCCCATACCACTCCCATGAACTATATATCTCCCAATCCACCTCAGTCAGGCATTTCCGACTTTGAGGCCTACGACTGGAATAATTTCCTTCCTCCCAACTCAGCGGATGGCAACTACGAAGATGGAGGGATCGGCCATACTGCGGTTGATCCGTTGGACAACCCACTACTCCAGGCATTTCTGGATACCACAGATGCAAGCTGGGACGAGAACTTGGGGCTAACAACAGAAGAACTTGGAAGCTATGTTGTATAAAAATACTTTTGTCTTTTATTTTTTGGAATTTCCTAGCACTTCATTTAACTTGAACACTTGGTCAAGATCTGCACCGTAGCCAACAAAACAATTGAAATTTAGAATAGCACATATCGAAGCTGCATGTCTATTGCCTTGAAACTTCATTAAATGCCTCCGCGATGTATTTCACATTGCCCTCATTCACACCGCTTAGACTTATACGCCCATTGTTCATCAAATAAATGTGGTGGACTTCCCTCAACCTCAAAACCTGATTCTCGCTCAGGCCGGTAAAAGTAAACATTCCAATCTGTGACTCCAGGCGGCTCCAGTCTCCTGAATTCGGATCTTCCTCTATGGCTTGCCTGAGGAGAGACCTCATCTTCGTGATTCGACTGGACATCACTCGCAGATCATTCTCCCACATAGCCCTCAACTTGGCGTCTGATAGTACGGTCTGTACGATCCGGGCCCCGAAGAGAGGAGGATTGGAGATCTCGGCACGAACTAGGCGGAGCAGCTCGCTTTTAGCACCATCAGCTTGGGTCTGTCTTGGTAGAATGAGGTGGAAAGCGCCAACGCGCTCGCCATAAAGGCCAAAGTTCTTGGCAAACGATTGAGCGATGCACATGCCAGGAGGAGCAGAAGAGGGGTTTTCTTCCGCGCTACATTCACCGAACAGAGTCTGCTGAAAGTGGCGAACTGCCCAGCCATCCGCCTCCACATCTCCGGTTGCAAAGCCTTGGTATGCCGAGTCGAAGAAGGCGAACAGCTTCTTTTGCTTGAACAACCTTGCAAGAGATTGCCATTGCTCTCGTGATGGGTCAGCTCCCGTTGGATTATGAGAGCATGCGTGCAGAATCACAACGTCATTCTCTTCGGCCTCCGCCTCGAGAGTGGACATCATGCCGTCAAAGTCGAGGGTGTGGTTGGAGAAGTCGTAATAAGGGTATTTCCGTTGCGTGACATTCGGCGCGCCCACCGTCCAGACAAGATGATGGTTGCTCCAAGTGGGATCAGAGATGAATACGTTCTTGGGCTGGAGCTTTTGGCCAAGGAAAGCAGCCCCTACATGGTTGGCTCCTGTGCCTGATATTGTCTGTAAAGAGACAGCATTGGCAGTGGCTGCGGCTTCCTTTCCGAGAATCAGATCCTTTGCCGCATCGAGGAATGAGTCTAATCCTTGTATAGGAAGATATTCGTGATCTAGATCGGTTGTTTCATGTAGAATCCTTTTCGCCTACGAAAGTGGTGGATTAGATCATGCTTGATGGTTGTAGTAGAAACCAGGGAGCCAAGCCTACCTCTCTCACACTTGATAGAACCCACGGTTTGGAGTCTCCATCCCTGTAGACTCCTGCACTAAGGCTGACCTTATTGGGATGATTATCTGCCTTGAAATCCGCGGTCAAAGCGAAGGCCTCGTCACGAGGTTGTTGGGGAATATCTCCAAGTGTGATGGGCATGTTGAATAATCTGATTGCCCTAGAGCCTCTTATTTGACATTTTCTCGACACAATAAGATTGGCGTTTAATGGATTTACACCTGAAATACCAGCGGTAGGGGGAGGTAGATCAACCGGTAGGGACTGGATCGGCAAGCTGAGATATCAGTTTGGTCGGATTACAGAGCCGATGCCGATATCATCGGCTTTCCTTCAGTACTCGATAAACTTGCGTCATCGGTAACATTGACCCGACGTACTTGAATTTGGTGTACTCAGATCGGAATCAAACATAGATCGACACAGGAATATCTCATTCAAGGCATATTGATAGTTCACAATTGAGCACTGAATATTCTACGCTATTGCACGTTCTTTTCCAATGATGCCAAGACAAGTCTCTTGTACACAGCAACAGATTCAATCAGATCCGGAATTGCCACTTGCTCATTTACTCCGTGAGCGTGTAAAATAGACCCGGGTCCGTATAGGTAGCGTTTGTGGTTTCCCTTTAGACGTGGAATGTCGGTGCCAAATGAAACCGGCATCGAATCCAATCCTAGAAACAGTTAGAATGTAATATAATGAAAATCGAAACGGAATATTACCTTCGATCTCATAGTCTAGGTACGTCTCAGAGTACCCGAATGACTTCTTCAGCGTGACATCGGGGTACTTTTTGGCTACCTCGGCGACCTTTTTCTCAATCTCTTCGAGGTTTGCGGCAACGCGGATGCCACATAGAGCATAAGCGTCTGCGGCAAGAACATTGTAGGCTACACCGCCCTCAATCTTACCAAGATTGAAGGTTGTAGGGCCCAGCAGCTCCGATGCTGGGAGGTCCAAAGATTTGAGCTCGTCGAGTAATGTCACCAGGGTAGTGGCCGCATTCTTACCCTTCTCAGGATATCCGGAGTGACTGGCGAAACCTTTTGCAAAGAGCTCGAACACGAAATGCCCCTTGTGACCGACTGCCAGTTTCCCTTCAGTAGGTTCTCCGAACATAATCGCTTCCCAACTCAATTTCATGTCATTTGCAGCAAGCATGCCAGGACCACCCTTCTCTTCGCCCACAACGAATAGAAGAGAGATATCACCGTCTTTGATGGCCCGCTCCGCACGTAACTCCTCGGCAGCTATGATTTGAGCGGCCAATGGGCCCTTGTCGTCACATGCTCCGCGCCCGTAGATGATATCGCCCTCGATTTTGAAATCAATATGGGGCGGGACGGTGTCCATGTGGGAAGTCATGCAGGTTCGAGCCTTGCGGTCGGCACCCAGATAGGCATAAACATTGCAGCGGTCGGAATCGGGTGCAATGGGAATGAGCTCAACAGTGTATCCGAGATTTTCTAGATATTTTGAAAGGAAAATGCCAATCTTTTGCTCTTCCTCACTGACCGATGGGATCTCCATCAACTGCTGGAGCAGCTGGACAACTGGGGTGTTTGCCATGTTTGGTCTTATGCTTACTTGAAGTACTGGATCTAAAACACCCGAAAGAAAAAGTGTTATTGAAACGAGTTAAGAGGAACGATTAATGCTACTCTTACATCTGATGTTTAGCTGGAGGTTATCGGACTTGATGCCGTTCTGCAACATCGGCTAGCACCTACCGAGTTCATGAACGCTAAACATACCGAACCGTTATCGCTTTCAGTCGGGACTCAAAATGGAAGAGTGCCAGAGCAACCGATCTAAACTAAAATCAGAGAAACTGGGGTAACACCGGGATATACCGGACATAAGATGCAGGTTAGATAGCTATTGAGGCCAGTCTTGATCTAAGGTAGGTTGGGACATGGGTACTGAGCTCTTCAATCCATGTCTTACACATCTTGATACTAGGCGAAAAGCAACTGTTGTAATTTAAGTATGCGAGAGTAAGTTTTTCCTGGATTGCACAGCGAAGATCTCAGGCTACAATTTGGAAATGCTTTGAAAGTGCTCCCGTAGGTTCTCAATTCATGGTTTCCCCGTGTTTATACAAGATGAAGGCGGAATTTCAAATGACTCAAACTTCAATATGTCAAATATGTAACGGCTTGTATTATATTGGGATCGACCCCAGACTATCTAGTATAACTTGGAATTGTTGAAGAGAAGATCTTGATCTTCGTCTGCTCCCCAGAGTATTTTTTCCAGCCCAAATTATTGTCCTTGAGATTAGAATCCCCTAAATGGAATACCTGAAGTGTGGACAGTAGTCACCCAAGTCAGGATTTGGCGCAATAGGAGTGCCTGCCTGCTCTGCAGCCAGAAGTCTCGCAGCTCGCCTGCGGTTGACAACAGTGAAGCTGACCATAAGCACAATGACAATCAGACCGGCGAACGCAGCCAAGCCCATGGCAATCGACAGTCCAAGAATGTATCGGGGGGCTGTGGGCGTGGTAAAAATCTGTCCAACGGCGACACCGGCTGTGTTTCCCAGGCATAGCATAAATCCGACCATCGTGGCTCGCTTGTAGTGCTTTGCGGCGTTGTCCTGCAGCCACATTGTAGAGAGACCCGTCGTTGGGTAAATTCCAAGAGCGGCAACTAGATACTAGACGTCAGCACGTTTAATCATGGGGATAGTGAGAGCAACATACGGAAACAGGCGAAGAACCTCACCTTGAGGTTCTCAACACTGATAAGAATGGCATATCCGATGATGAGGCACATCAAACAGCCAAGAAGATATGGGCCTCGCATCTGCGTCCTGTCTGAGAAATAGGCAATGACCAAGAAGAAAAGCAGAGAGCAGATATAGATAGGCACGGTCATGAGATTGGCATGCACAGAGGTATATCCAAGTCCCCTCACAATGGTAGGAAGGAAGGTAGTCAAGCCATAGAGAGAGATGTTGACTGAAAATTGGTACGCCCAGAATGCCCACCATTTGGGGTCCTTGAACGCCTTGAAGCACTCGGCCCAGGAGAACTCCTCGTCGTTGCCCCAGCTCGGATCGGCATCGTAGCGCGCTTGCATCATCTGCTTTTCCTCTGCCGTGAGGAACCAAGCCTCGGTGGGGGACTTGGGGAAGACGAAGTAGAAGCAAGGAACAATCACGAAGGTCATTGCACCCTCGATGGCGAAGAGCCACCGCCAACCGGAGAAATTGTCCGTTCGAATTTGTGTAAGGCCGTAGGCAAGGATGCCACCAAACGCGCTGGAGAAGGCACTGAATGCAAAGATCATGGAAGATCTCTTCCCACGCTCGGATTTCTTGTATACCCATCCCAAGTACACGTTGATGCATGGGATAAGACCAGCTTCGAACAGTCCGATGAGGAGTCGACAGGCATATAACGCTCGGTAATCTTTAGCGAAACCTGCGAGTGTTAGTGAAGGGTTATTATGGATGGCGACCATTGTTATTTACTCATTCCAAGAGTCGCCGAGCCCCAGCAAAAGGCGGAAATGGCCATGATTGGCTTCGGGCCGATGACCTTTAGTAGGACGGCAACAGGGCCTTCGAGAGGGACATAGGTTGCAAATCTGTAGGGGAGGGAAGTCAATAATGTGTAGTAGGTGTAGGCGGTACGGATATCTTACAGTAATGTCGTTGCAGTTCCGAATTGGTTGCCTACGAGGTTGAGTTCCTCAGGAAGGCCTGCAATGTTGGCGTTTCCTAGGTTGCTTCGGTCCAGATTTGACATCAAGTAAAGGAATCCCATGGCGGTAACTGCGAAGAGCTACTCTTTGCGTTAGCATTGCGAATTGGCTGGCGAACGGAAGATGTAAGACATACATCGAACTTCCGCATCATGCGGCTCTCTTTGACAGGATCGATGTAGTAATCCGATGACCCATGTTCAGAGTCTGGCTTGCTGTTGTTTGGAGACACCGCAGCCTCTTTTGAGGAGCGGACCTCTTCAACTTCAGTTGACATCTTGGAGAAACCCAATTGAAGTGATGAAATATCGAATGGACGTTATTCAGGTCAATGAAGTCTAAGAAAGTTGTCAACTCCTCGAGATGATGTTTGGCTTCTGGCAGGGGCAAGTGGCAGGTAAATATGGGACAACGAGAACCTGTCATGACATGGTTCAAGTTGCTGTCATCTCCAATGGTTCATAGCACTACCGGCTTGCCATCCCTGACATATCTGATAAGTCAATTGGAGTAATCGAACGATCAAGGTCAGGCATGAAGCGAGAGTCTCTCACCGGACCTTGACAGATAACGGTTACCAACCAAATGACTGTTATCTTGTTATCAACGCTATCTACGAGTGGATCACATTCCTGTTATCACTTGGCTTCGGTCGGCTTGAGTTGAAGGTTGCCGATCGGTTTAACATCTCCGCATTTCCAAATCGGCATTGCCATGATCCAGCCAAATCACGGCAATCCGTTGGCTTGAGCCGATAAGTGAGCACCGGCACCGAAACCGAGACCAAAAACTGAGTAATAGAGGCTTTAATAATACACACTCATCTCTTGTTAAGGACCATCGCAAGACAATATATCCTTTGTGATTCTTCATTGTTGAGAGACCCGACACGAAGCCAACAATCATTCCTTCACCAAACATGGCTTCGACACAGGGAATACGCATCGCAATTGATCGGGGAGGCACTTTCACAGATGCTTGGGCCAGGCTCCCGGGAACGGACCGAGAGCTCGTGCTCAAGGTCCTCTCCCAGAGCCCCGATGAGTATGACGATGCGCCTACAGAGTGCATTCGCCAGATTCTAGAGATTGCCACCAATACACAGATTCCTCGAGGAACACCTTTGGATCTCAGCCCGGTCGAGTTCATTCGCATGGGTACGACGGTTGCGACCAATGCTCTCCTGGAACGCAAAGGCGAGCGCTGTGCTCTTGTCATCACTAAGGGCTTCCGAGACATTCTTGAGATTGGAAACCAAGCAAGACCGCACATCTTCGATCTCTCAGTGCGTCGGATGAGCAAGCTGTATGACAGAGTTGTCGAGGTTGATGAGCGCGTCACAATTGAGGGATTTGCCGAAGACCCGGAGCTTAAACCCATCGATGTGGACTCTGAGCCTTGTCTTACCACGGGGCTGGCCGGTGAAGCAGTCCGGATCATCAAGGTCCCAGACTACGACAAAGTTCGCGCCGACTTGAAGGTGCTATGGGAGGAGGGATACCGAAGTCTGGCCATCGCCATGATGCACTCCTACACCTTCCAGGACCACGAACTGGGCATTGCCAAGGTCGCACGCGAGATTGGCTTCAGGGTTGCCGTCTCGTCGGATCTTCAGAAAATGGCAAAGATCGTGCCCCGAAGTCAGTCAGCTGTTGCCGACGCCTACCTGTCCCCCATCACAGACGAATACCTTGAAAACTTCCGAAAAGGATTCAAAGGCCAGCTTCGAGACAGCCATGCTAGCAAACTATTTCTCAACCAGTCAGATGGCGGTCTGACGGCATTTGATAACTTCACAGGCCTCAGGGGTGTATTAAGTGGCCCTGCAGGCGGTGTGATTGGCCTTTCCAAGACTTGCTATGACGAGAAGGATGCTACACCTGTTCTCGGATTTGATAGTAAGTTGAGTCGTCGGGCCTTCTGCTGTAACTTGTATTCTAACATTGCCTTTAGTGGGTGGCACCAGCACCGATGTTGCACGTTATGCCGGATCTCTGGAGCACATCTTCGAGAGCACCATCGCTGAAGTCACGATCCAGACTCCACAGCTTGACATTAATACTGTTGCTGCAGGCGGTGGATCGATTCTGACATGGGAAAACGGACTGTTCAAGGTCGGACCGGGAAGCGCTGGCGCAAACCCAGGACCTGCTTGCTATGGCCGTGGCGGTCCGCTGACAGTAACGGATGCCAACTTCTTCCTGGGTCGTATCATTCCAGACTTCTTCCCACGACCTCTTGACCTGGACATTGTGAAGAAGAAATTCTCCGAAATCACTGAATCGATCAACAGCACTAAGGAGGGAGGCGCCAAGTTCACAGAGGAAGAGGTTGCCATGGGCTTCCTTTTGATTGCCAACACCACGATGACACGGCCAATTCGAACACTCAGTGAAGGCAGGGGATTTGAGACAGCGGCACATAATCTAGGCTGCTTTGGAGGAGCTGGTGGTCAACACGCCGTTGCGGTAGCAAGAGATCTAGGAATCCGTCATGTTGTTATTCCTCGGTACTCAAGCATCCTGTCTGCTTACGGCATGGCTCTCGCTGATGTCGTCGTGGAAAACCAAGAGCCAGAAACTCTGACTTTCTCTTCGGCAGCTGTACCGAAACTGCAAACAAGGTTTGAGAGACTTTCTGCAAAGGGATCCCAGGGGTTATATGCACAGGGATTCAACGACGATCAAATCAGACACGAGTATTTCCTCAACATGAGATACCAAGGCAGTGATACTGCCCTTATGATCCAGCATCCCGGAGATCTTGCTCTATTCAACAAAGCATTCGTCGACCGTCACCATCAAGAGTTCGGTTTTACGCAACCGCGCGAGATTATCGTTGATGATGTGAGAGTACGAAGCGTCGGAAAGGGGGCAGATCTCAAACTGAGCAGCCCTTTTGAAGAATTTCGAAGGTTGCAGACTTCGCCCCCGGTCACACCTACAAAGCCCGACTCCGTAAGAAAGGTGTACTTTGAAGGGCAGGGCTGGACCGAGACGAGCCTGTATTTCCTAGACGACATTCCTAGGGGAGCTCGCGTGAAGGGACCTGCAATGATCGTTGACAAGACACAGACTGTCGTTATTGATCCGTCCAGCGCTGCCTTCGTACTGCCCGAGCACCTTTTCCTCGAGATTTTGGACGTCAACAAGCCTGAAATATCCACAGATTCTGTCGACCCCGTTCAGCTCAGTATCTTTGGCCACCGTTTTATGAGCGTGGCAGAGCAGATGGGTCAAACCATGCAGAAAACCTCCATTTCGGTCAATATCAAGGAGCGACTGGATTTTTCTTGCGCTGTATTTTCTGCCGACGGTGGGCTGGTCGCCAATGCGCCCCATATCCCAGGCCACTTGGGTTCGATGAGCTACGCCATCGCCTACCAGGCCAAGCTCTATGGTCCTGGAGAGCTGAAGCCGGGCGACGTGCTTTTAAGTAATCACCCGTGCGCCGGAGGGACTCACTTGCCAGATCTGACAGTGACTACTCCTGTTTTCGACGATGAGAAGAATCCCACAAAGATCCTCTTCTTCGTTGCTAACAGAGGGCACCACGCGGACATTGGCGGCATCCAACCTGGATCTATGCCGCCACACTCTACGGAATTATGGCAGGAAGGCGTTGCCGTTGAAACATTCAAAATTGTCAAGGAGGGGCAGTTTGACGAAGAAGGCCTTCATAGAATTCTCGTCGACATCCCCGGCTCATACCCTGGCTGCAGTGGAACAAGAACATTAAGAGACAACATCGCCGATCTCAAGGCTGCTATTGCGGCCAACAACCGCGGCATCCAACTCATCAGTGCCCTCGTCAAGGGTTACACGTGGCCGGTGATCCAGTTTTACATGCAAGCTATCCAAGATAACGCTGCGCAGTCAGTACGGCAGCTGCTCAAGGTCTTTTCTAAGAGATTCGAAGGCCAGGATTTGCAAGCCGAGGACTTTCTTGACGACGGCACTCCTCTATGTCTCAGTATCAATATCGACAGTGAGACTGGCGACGCGGTCTTCGATTTCGAAGGAACCGGCCACGAGCATTTTGGCAATCTGAACTGCCCGCCCGCGGTGATGTTCTCAGGTATCATGGTAAGTGACAACATGATGACAGACTCATCACGTATGCATTTACGATTTGCTAACCAACGCGTTAGTACTGCTTGCGTTCCATGATCTCAACCGAGATCCCCCTCAATCAGGGATGTCTGGCGCCGATCAAGCTCAAGCTCCCTGCCGACTCAATCCTCTCGCCCTCCCTCAAGGCAGCGACTGTGGGGTCCAACGTCGAGACGTCGCAGAGGATAGTGGACCTCATTTTCAAAGCATTCCAGGCGTGCGCTGCCTCCCAGGGGACGTGCAACAACTTGACATTCGGATACGGTGGCACGGATCCAGTCACGGGCAAGGTAACCAAGGGTTTCGGATACTACGAGACCATTGCAGGTGGTTCCGGGGCGGGTGCTGACTGGGAGGGCGAGAGTGGTGTGCACACTCATGTTACGAATACGAGGATATCAGATCCTGAGATCTTCGAGCGGCGATACCCGGTGATACTTCACGAGTTCTCCATTCGCCATGGTAGTGGCGGCCTGGGTATGAATCGCGGTGGTGATGGCTGTGTGCGTGATATCGAGTTCCGGATGCCGATGCAGGTATCCATCCTGTCGGAGCGTCGTGTTATTGCGCCGTATGGCATGGCAGGAGGCGATGAAGGCAAGAGAGGACTGAACTTGTGGATTCGCCGTGATCCTGAGGACGGTACGACCAGAACTATTAGTTTAGGCGGCAAAGCGACTACGATGATGAACGCTGGAGATAGGATTGTTGTCCTGACGCCTGGTGGTGGCGGATATGGTCCCAACCCAGACAAGAAGGTGAAGAAGGAGGTGGTTGGAGCATTCAAGATTGGAGAGAAGTTTGCCAATGCCCAGCTTCTTGCTCGGACCAATGGAAGTGTGGCCCAGAGAAATGCCACAGCAACTGAGGGATAGTCAAGCAAAATTCACGTGGGGAAATAAAAGCAGTATCCAACGACAATCCAAAACTCACCGATTGACATGTCACTACCACCTTCAAAGATATTGATCTGTATCTCACTCTTCGTCATTGATTTTATCTCGATGAATGAAATAAATTGTCATTACGAGAAGGTCACTCTGTTGGATTATCTCATGAACCATCAATGTCAATGTCTACGAACTATAGGGTAGCTCTCATAACTACAGCGCCGACTCCATCGAACAACAAACACACCTGCGAGGAGCATCTTTGATGACGTTCCGGGTCAGCCATTAGCTCAGGAGACTGGGCCAGGGATGCTGTGCATTCGTCCAGAATGAATGTGGAGCTATCTAAGATTATCTCGGATGAACACGCACGCTGCATAGTAGGTAGATGGGCTGGAACGCTTGAGGTGGCTCGAAGTCTTGAGCGTGTAATCTGTGATTCCCATGCTTCTGTATACAAACGCTGGATAACTCCACAGTGTAGTTATGCTAAATATATTGCGATCGATGAATCGGTTCCGGAGTGGAAAACCACGTTGGGCCTCGCTTAGTTGTTCAGTCAATTTAATCAAAGACACTTTGATTAAAAGGGGACACCAAGTTCTGGGGTTGAAACTGAGCAATTATTGTATTATTCGAGCTAAAACTAACAAACAACTGAGCCAGACTGAGTAAGATGAAGAAAAAATGCGAAAACGCATATTAAGTGCACATTCTTAGTAGCCCCTGCGTGGAATGCAAGTCGGCCGTTGAAATCAAGGGCGTGATGTGGAGAGCGATCGCGCGATTGATCCCGATCTATCACCCTTGCTCAAAGCCATGTGGTTAAGCCTACGGTTTGGCGGGTAGATGCAAGTTTCTCGCACGAAGTTGGACCAGCTGGGTCGACCACGTATGCTACATGTCCTAGATATTCGACGTAGGCTCTGATCTCTTTGATAGGAGACATTCACACATTAGATGGCTGGGGAACATGAAGGCCAACAGCGCCATTACCACAACCGAAGGGGCCCCTCGTCACCATTGTTAATTGGTCAAACGTAGGGACGAATGGAAGGGAGAGCACACCACAATACAGTTAGTGAAGCTAAAAGCTCGAAAATACCATTTTAGCGTACGTTGGGCACGCGAATGTTGCGTGTTGGCTCCTCGTGCAGGCATGCAAATAGAATTCGACTGAGACATATCAACCCAACGGCGAACGGGAACTAAATCTAACGACAAACGACTCGTGGGTCTTCTGAGACCTGCGACATCCCATTCCTGTTTTCTGATCCAGTTGACATGCCACCGCCCTTGCGTAGAGCACGAGTTCATGTGTCAGTGCCTGGAGATTTTGATCATGGACATTGAAAGATTAAATAAGAAGCACAGAAGCTCGCATCTGAAATTCTGTCGACAGGTAAGCTCTACAACAAACCGACTGCATAAGCCCAAGCACGTGTGTAACAGCTTGGCTAAAACTTCATCATGAGGGCAGTCAACAACCGTCTACTGGCCCTAACGGCCTTCATAGTCTTCATAGGCTTTATGAATCTCCCAACGGCCCTTGCACTTCCTAACACTTCAAGGTAAGATTCAAGAGTCCTGAAGTTGATCCGAGCAAGGAAAAATACTGACATCTATTAAAGACTATCTTCCATTCATTCGACTGGCGAAACGCCCAAAGGCAACGACCGTACATATGGTTCCCTGTTCAGCTCTCTCAAGGGGGCCATTGTGAAACGCGCCCCCCAATCATCCTCTCGCCCTCCATGGTGGTGGCCATACGGCGAGTCTGGAATAAACTATTCGCCTGGTCAAATTGGCGGAGAAGGGCCCTCGCAATATCCTCCGAATTGGCCAGGGCAGCCAGGGCCACAAGGTCCCAAAGGTCCCCCAGGTCCCCAAGGTCCCCAAGGTCCCGCTGGCCCAACAGGAGCAACTGGTCCAAAGGGATCGACTGGTCCAAAGGGAGATGTCGGTAGCCAGGGCCCTCAGGGAGGTATCGGACCTATCGGACCTGCTGGACCCACTGGCCCGGCCGGACAGAACGGCGCCGTGGGACCTCAAGGACCGGTTGGCCCTGCTGGCCCCAACGGAGCGGTTGGTCCTGCTGGACCCGTTGGACCTAACGGAGCGGTTGGACCTGCTGGCCCAACTGGCCCTATTGGCCCAACCGGTCAAACTGGTCCTCAAGGCCCTAACGGTGCAACTGGCCCTACCGGACTGACTGGCCCGGCTGGTCCTCAAGGTGAAACCGGCCCTACTGGGTTGACCGGTGCGGTTGGTCCTCAAGGTCCTGAAGGTGAAACTGGCCCTACTGGACTAACTGGCGAGGCTGGCCCTCAAGGCCCTCCCGGAAATGATGGAGCCCCTGGTGCTCAAGGACCTGCTGGCAACGACGGAGCTCCCGGCAATGACGGTGCTCAAGGCCCTCAAGGCCTTCCCGGAAACGACGGAGCCCCTGGTACTGAAGGCCCTCAAGGTCCTCCTGGTAATGATGGAGCTCCTGGTGCCCAAGGACCTGTAGGCAACGATGGAGCCCCTGGTGCTCAAGGCCCTCAAGGCCTTCCCGGCAACGACGGAGCTCCTGGTGCTCAGGGCCCTCAAGGCCTTCCTGGCAACGACGGAGCCCCCGGTGCTCAAGGCCCTCAAGGACTTCCCGGCAACGATGGAGCTCCCGGTGCCCAAGGACCTGCAGGCAACGATGGAGCCCCTGGTGCTCAAGGTCCTCAAGGCCTTCCCGGTAATGACGGAGCTCCCGGTGCTCAAGGCCCTCAAGGCCTTCCTGGCAACGACGGAGCCCCTGGTGCTCAAGGCCCTCAAGGCCTTCCTGGCAACGATGGAGCTCCCGGCACTGATGGTGCTCAAGGTCCTCAAGGCCTTCCCGGCAACGACGGAGCCCCCGGTGCTCAAGGCCCTCAAGGCCTTCCTGGCAACGATGGAGCTCCCGGCACTGATGGAGCTCCTGGTGCTCAAGGCCCTCAAGGCCTCCCTGGAAACGACGGAGCCCCCGGTGCTCAAGGCCCTCAAGGCCTTCCCGGTAATGACGGAGCTCCTGGTGCTCAAGGCCCTCAAGGCCTTCCCGGTAATGACGGAGCTCCCGGTGCTCAAGGCCCTCAAGGCCTTCCCGGTAATGACGGAGCTCCCGGCACTGATGGAGCTCCTGGTGCTCAAGGCCCTCAAGGCCTTCCCGGTAACGATGGAGCTCCCGGCACTGATGGAGCTCCTGGTGCTCAAGGCCCTCAAGGCCTTCCCGGCAACGACGGAGCCCCCGGTACTGATGGAGCTCCTGGTGCTCAGGGCCCTCAAGGCCTTCCTGGCAACGACGGAGCCCCCGGTGCTCAAGGCCCCCAAGGTATCCAAGGCGCTCAAGGACCTCAAGGACCTCCAGGCCCGGGTACATATGCGGCGTCCTGGGACTATGCTGGTTGCTATGATGCCGCCGAGGGCCTCTTCGGATTCACCAATGTCGTGTTTGAGACACCCGTGGACACCTCCATTGACGACTGCTCGACTATCTGTTCAACCAGGGGTGCTGGCGGTAACCCTACCTTCTACTTTGCGCTTGCAACGGACGTGAATGATGGCTCCATCTGCGCATGTGGAAATCAACTTGCTGGCACAACCACAGTCGCGGGTAATAACAATTGCAATGCCCCCTGCCAATTTACCACGACCCCCCGTCCTTATTGCGGCTCAGCCGACGGTGAATACGTGTCAGTCTTTGCCAGTATATAGGATATATGATCGTCGAGTTATATAGGTATCTTAGAGATATCTTGCGGAGAAGGACTAGCGCAAGTAAGAAGTAGGCCAACATCGAATTTATATATGACTAGCTATATATTTCGTTACAAAATCAAGCCTCATTCTATTCTTTCAGTGTCTGCAATTCGCAGTAATAACCTTGATTCTGTAGTTTGGTTTCTCCTAGATAAGGATTTCTCAACGAATGTTCCTTAGGATGATTTGAAGCTCTAAATACAGAAATGCTCAGCGGTTGACTATTCTCCGATAAGGAGAGCGTATTACTAGAGCGAGGCGCAGTTGAGGTTCCCACCGAAGGCTGCCTTTACAATCATAATTCTTCTGTTGGTACACTCTCTTAATATACTCTATATCTCCTGTTGTTACTTTTAAGTCTGTTGTCCCTAGTTTGATTTGATCGATTCACACAACATAGGAGAATTGTTAGAATGATCCTTGATTTGTATTCTCGATAGAAGCTATCCGAGCCAAACGTTCCTTTCTCAAACTTAAGTGATTTTCCCCTGTTCTGACTCCCTCGACAAGTTTTATTCCCTCTTTCGTAGGAGATGTTACGTTTTCGCGATACGGTACACATGATTGATAGTGGTGACATCTTTGATCCATGTCCACGTCCTAGAGAAAGGCGAATTTGTGGCTGTTAAACACTGAATAAAACGTCAATAGCTATTCTCAGCCTGATTGATGATGCTATGTAAGAATAGATTTTGCCGAGAAAATATCTGCCGTCGGTAAATGGTACAGCCGGGAGTAGTTAGGGTGGCTGGAAAGTCCCTGGAATGCCTCCTCCCATGAAGTCGGATGAAGATAGATAACATTGCGATGTCGGATCGGTCCGGGAATACCGGTCGGTTTGGTGATAAGCGCAAAAGATAACATCTTTAAGCCGATCGATGGGTGGACGACGCCAGCCGATGGTGGGGTTTTTGTTGCTCGGCTCTGCCTGCTAATGGGCGAGGCGGGATCTTGGAGATCAACATACGTCTAGAAGTATTCGTCGACTGACTAGGAGAGGAGACGTATTCCGATTTTCGAATTAGGTCGTCGAGCTTCTGATCTCACCAATCGCCAATTGTCCCATAGCCACATCCAGGGTCAACATGGCCCCTAAACCTGACATATTATTTATCGACTCGAGCGTTCAGAAGATAGACTTTGCCCGCCGAAAAGCGCTTGCAGAGAAATTCAACATTATACAATATGACTGCGAATCCACCGAGGAATTCAAAGAGCGCCTCAAGCCGGGGGGACCTTACTCAAACATCGTTGCAATTTCACGAAACGGCTGGCTCAAAGCTGGACCGCTCGCGAAGCAACTCCCCTTTGGCACAGATGTCATCCCATATTATCCGGCCAGTCTCAAAGTCATATGCTGCAGCGGCCATGGACACGATGCCTCTGATGTGGAGGCAATAACTGCTAGGGGTATCTGGTACTGCAACACGCCAAACGCATGCACGGAAGCCGTGGCGAATACCGGGCTGTTCCTTGTTCTTGATTCGTTCCGCTATATTTCTTTTGCCCAGTGGTGCGCTCGAAATGACTGGTTGCAGAGTCGGGAACTGGGTCAAAAGGCGGTTGATCCCACTGGGAAAACCCTTGGCATTGTCGGGCTTGGGGACATTGGGCTGGGCATTGCTCAGAAGTGCGAAGCCGCATTTCAGATGAAAATACATTATCAAGGGCCTCGAGAAAAACCGCAGGCAGAAGAAACATTGAAGGGGGGAGCAATCTACCATTCAACAGTGGATGAGATGATACCCCATGTCGACTGCATCGTCCTCGCGGCCCCTTATACAAGCGATACGCATCATCTTTTGTCTAAGAAGCAGTTTGAACTCGCCAAAAAGGAGGGGATAAGGGTTGTGAATGTGGCGCGAGGCAAGATGATTGACGATGATGCACTGCTCGAGGCTCTGGAGACTGGGCGGGTTGTTGGGGCTGGATTGGATGTGCATACAGATGAGCCAGGTATCAATCCCAAACTGAAGGATAACTGGCGGGTTACGGTCTTACCACATATTGGGGTGTGCTCAGCAACAAGCTGGGAGAATTTCGAGAAGATTAATCTGGACAACATTGAGGCTTACTTCACGACCGGCAAGCCAATAACGCCGGTGAACAGTATCAAGAATTAGAGAAGGATTCTTTGACATTTAGATTGGAGAAAAATAGATATCTCAAGACAAGCAAGGATATCAAACCTGTAAAGAAGACCTACGTTTCAATGTGAACTTCTAATTGATTATGTGATGTATATCGTGTAATGCTCATCCGAAACACAGTTCAGCGTAGCGGCCGATTTGTACGAGACTGGGCCACAAAAATGGCCAGATTATTATCAATGAGATCCACGAGGAAAGACTCATGCGCGCGCAGGGATAGGTCGGCCCATCGACTCGGCAAACCGACTCTGAACCGGCTTTTCTATGCGATATAATGTCGGCTATGAGTTCGAGTCTCCGGCAGGTCTTTTGTTCTCGACTTCACTTCTTATGTCAGTTCCCTAGATCTTGTACCTAACAATTCACTTCAGGGGCAGCTAGGTCATCGACAGTTATCCTCGCACTTAAGAATGCGTAAGTCTCAAATGAAAATATTGCCTATATTCGATTACTGACAGAATTACCCCCGTATAGCTTCGTTCCTTGTTATTGGCGCTGGTGTGATCGGCTTGTCCACCGCACTTGAGCTTCGGGCCCGGTATCCTGGGTCAGATATTGTCATCGCGGCCAAATACCTCCCCGGAGTTTCTGCCCCGGACTACACATCGGCATGGGGAGGTGCAAACTGGTTCTCAGCAGCTCGGGACAATGGACCACAGGAAGACTGGGAGGCTATCGGCTACCGGAAACTTAAGGAGCTTGCATCAACGCGACCAGAGTCAGGGGTTCAGCCCATGAACATTCGATGGCATTACGAGCGCCCGATCGATGAGGTTGGTATCAAAACTCCGGAAACGGGGAAGCTTTGGTTTGAAGAGCTCGTGGGGGGCCTGACCAAGATTGATGAGAAGGACCTTCCTGAGGGCACAAGCTTTGGATTTGAAATGGCCAGTTTTGTCGTCAATGTCCATAGATATCTCCCGTGGTATGCCACATAGAAAATACTAGAGGGAATTGTCGCTAATGTTTCCAGGTTACAAGCTGAGGCGGAGAAGAAAGGGATCTACATCCATAGACGCATCTTTGGGCATATCCAAGAGGCCCTGGACTTCTACCCTAAAGTCAATGCGGTCTTCAATTGCACAGGCATCGGAGCTCTAACCCTAGGTGGAGTTGAAGATAAGAAGATATTTTCCGCGAGAGTAAAAATTGAGCTATCACTACAAATCCCCTGGAAGTTGCATTTGCTTACGGAGACATTTCTATAGGGACAAATCATGCTGGTTCAAGGACCCGAGAAGCCGATCGAAAAGATGTACTTCCGTGCGCCTCACCGTGATGGCGAAGCAACTCACATATTTCCACGGGGAGAGCGTGGGGGAGTTATCCTCGGAGGCTGCCGACAGAAAGATAATTGGGATGCGGAAACCGACATGGTGTTTGCAGAAGTTATCAAGAGACGATGCTGTGCTCTTGTTCCTCAACTGGGCAAGCCTGAAGATCTTAAAATAATCAAGCACGGTGTTGGATTCCGACGTAAGATGAAATATTCCATCCTTTCATCAATGTCTCTCAATTTACTTCGAAAGAATCTAACATTATGGCAGCGGGTCGAGAAGGCGGCGCTCGTATTGCACCTGAGACGATCAACGGCAGGCTTGTCATCCACAACTACGGCGCAGGAGGAACTGGGTTTTAGGCAGGCTGGTACATTTGCTATAGATCAAAGGCTTTGAGGTATATGCTAATATTGAATTTAGGGGAATGGCACGATATGCCGTGGATCTGCTATCAGATCGCGCAAGGATATAATGAAGTAAGGCCCGAAAGGCGTAGGAGAATTGCGCTAGATTAAATAACCAAGATGAAATTGTCAGATAATTGGTTGAAATTGAATGTGTTGTCTGTGGCTGACGCCTGTATTCTCAGCTAGCCTAGGCCCCTGAGATATATAAATAGTAAGAAGTTACTTTCCTAGTTATTACTAAGGTCTATAGAGATAAGAATATATACTAGGTTTCTAATTTATACTTTCTAATTAACTAATTAGAATTTCTCTATTTTCTAATATACTTTTATAGATAGTACTAACTAAGAGCTATCTAACTATATAATTTTAATTTCTAGTTTCTTTAGCTCTTTCTAATTTAGATTTTATAATAGTTTTATATATATTTCTAATATTTTCTCTCTTATTATTAATATAGATATAAAGCTTTATAATAATATAATTAATAATTATATATTAATTATAATTATTTTTCTTCTAAT